AATGTATAGTAGTGAGAAATGGCCTAAGGGCCCATACTTTAACAACGGATATGTTTTTTTTTTTTGTAATGTAAGTGGAGAAACTATGTACTATATACTAATCCCTTGTTTTGTCTCTAGTAACAGAAGATCATGTGGAGATGCACCAAGGCAACAGTGGGGAGACAGTAAAAGTAGTACAATTGTAAAACTATATTTATATGTGCTCTATTCTTTAGTATACTTCTACACCATCTTAGTTTCTAGCAAGATTCAAAATTTTGACACGATACGCCCTGTATCAGGCATATTGTATCATATCGGTGGGGTACCAATACTCAAAATAGAGGCCTTTTGGCCTTTTGATCCATTTCAGGGGGTAGGCAGGCCTAATACCCACCCCCTGACCTATTTTTGAAAAAAAAAAAAAACAAAAAAAGGACTGGAGTTTGGTTTGAAGTACCAATACAACCACCCCTTCTGGCGTATTGGGGCGTAATGATACTTTGAAACCTTGGTTTCAAGTTTTCAGTGTAAATGAATTTTTGACTTGACTCATCAAGAAGAAAGAAAGAAAGAAAGAAAAGAAGAAGAAGGCTTAATGTGGCTAGACAATGGGGGATAGCCCGTCCCCCATACATACAACCCCCTAACAAGGGTGAAGGTGGGAATTTGATCAGCATTTGTGGGTTCCCAGATCAGCAAACTGCATTGCTGATCATTTAGCCAAGCAAGGTGTTAATAGAGGGAATTGCTTTTAGGCTTCTTTGTAATGTAAGAAAAATTTTCTGATGTTGTTCTAAGATTTTCTGAGGTAGCCAAGGCTACTCAAGATTCTGTAATTTTTTCTTCTAATTAATAAAGCTATGTTTTCTGTTGCGGATGAAAAAAAAGGTGGGAATTTGATCCTGAGTTTCCGCTGGAACCAGTCAGAGACCCTACAAACTGAGCCTGTTGGCACCTTCAAATAGAGTAGAGCTGCATTGGGGTATTCTATATATCGTATGTTATCATGCATTCTTTTCTTTTTGATAATTTGTTATCATTTTTTCTTTGATAATCAATAAAAGTTATGTTAATTATGAAGAAAAAGAGGAATTATGAAAAACTATAGTATTAGACAAAGATGAAAAGAAAAGAGAATGGGGTGTCAAGAGACCTAAATGGGGTAGAATGACAAGAGTTGGGAGAGGGAAGAGAGATATGGATGCTTTGCACCTTGACAAATGGAATATGATACTTGGACTAAAAACTATTATAACATTAATTGCTGATCTAAAAAACTATCCTAACATTAATTCCTTGATTGTTAACTATTGTTACACATATGCATACAGAAGAAAGATCCCCACATTATCTCCCATAGTTTTCCTGAAGGTCTCATTTGCTATCCATCCATCAGGCCTAAAGTCATGAGACAACACCTGAAATGCTTAAAAAGATGGTGCATTTTGAATGATTGAGTGATTGTGTTATCTAGGTGGAATCATGGCAAAAGTTGTTTGTAGTTGATGTAGGAATTGGGTTGAGACCTCTGGTAGGAGAACCCAGTTTGTAGGAGTGACCTGAAGATGTTGAGGACATTCTTAGGGTTGTCTTTGGATGCCTTAGGAATGAATGGATTGGTGAGTTCCAATCCCTGTTAATGCTAAAATGTATTATTCCAAATCCAGATAGTAATTCTTTTGTTAATCAATTGAGTGAATTCATGAATTCCAATTCCAAATTGCGGGTTTGGTGGAATGGTAAAAGCTCAGGCCTTTGCTTGGTGCAATGGTAAAAGCTTTTTACCAATATACCTTGGTGCAATGGTAAAAGCTTAGGCTGAAAATGTCATTCTGCGGTATCAGTATCATATTGGTGAACATTTTAGGCATTTTAACGTCTAAAATGTCATTTCTGTAATATCAGTTGAATCATGGCCTTTGCTTGGTGCAATGGTAAAAGTTAAGGCTGAAAGTGTGAAACTTGTGTTCGAGTCTAAGAGTGGACACTTTATGCAAAAGAATGTCATAAGATTAGGTCTACATCCAGTCTACCTCTCCCAAGACCCCAAATGGCCGTGACAATCACTTATGGCCTTTCACTAAGTTGATCCATGGCATGCATACATTTTGTATGGTTTTGTTTTGTTTTAGTTCCTTAACCATTAAGGGTTATAACTTGTAATTAATATTGAATTAGTTAAGAGTTATACTGCAGTCATATTCCTTGTGTGCAAGTGCTGAAAGAGCCCAACCAAATTATTCATTTTCTGATAGCCTGCAAAACTAATGAGAGAGCATTCTGTCAGCTGTTTTTAGCTAACCTTCCCAGGATACAAGTTACTTGGGAGAAAGCCCCAATTGGAGGATATCTCATATCTGTTGAATGGGGATAACCTTGAGGTATGAACCTCTGTCTTGGCTCATGAGTGGACTTGACTAATCTTGGACCCTTCCTACCCTGTTACTTTACTGTTGCTTTTCTGTAACCCTAGCTAGTAAAGTCTTACATGATTGAGAAACACTATTAGCAGTGAGAGAACTTTGGCTCCTATTAAACTGTAGGTACAATCACTTTTTCAATGTAGATGTTAAAGCCATCTCATTGAGATTTCATAAATTTTGTCAAGAACAAGGAAGCATGGATTTATCATCCACACCTAAAAGCAATTATATCTACAATTTAAAAGGACTGAGTTTTTTTATAGCAGTTTGCCTACATCTCTATAATGACAATGGGCACAGTGGTAGAGTATGTTTGCCTATTGGGTTATCCATAATGCAGAGCATGTTTGCCTTATCAAAGACATAAGAAAGGGTTATCATCTGAAACTCCCCCCACATTTTTGATACCTCTAGCGAGCCCATGTCAGATGCTTTTGTTTATAACATACATACTTTCTGTCATGTTAATGTTAGAGATCGTAACAGAACTGGTTCATGTGTACAGTTTTTATTTTTTAAAGACAACTAACCTTAACCAGCCAGTCTACCCTAATAACTAATTTTATATGACAAAAAGACTATTGGTTTATTTCATGACCACTCATCTCACAACCCACCGACGGTTCCATTTGCCCATCAAGAGTTCAATTTTAGTGAATGGATGGACCTAGTCTTGAATTTTTGGTTGAAAGGATGGAGCATTGTAATCTTGCAAACACTTTCTAACAGCAAATGTTTGAAAGGAAGGCCTCTAGAGGTATTGAAAAGTGAGGGTAAGTTTAAGAAAAAGTCAGAGAAGTGGAGGGATGTTTCAGAAAATAATCCCAAAAATAAAAAAAAAAAGCTTACCTTATCTCAAGGGTTTGAAATCAGCTAATGACATACTAAGCCATGCAAGGGGCCATGCCATTCATTTTGTGTTTGGTACAGATGAGATGGAGAAAATGGTCTCGTGTCTTGCTGTACGTCATGGAATATTTGCAGCCCATATTTAATCAATTTGGTTCTGATACTTAAAAGATGGTGCATGTTGAATGATTGAGTGGTTGTGTTATCTATGTGGAATCATGGAAAAAGTTGTTTGTAGTTGTTGAGGCCTCTGGTAGGAGAATCCAGATCGTAGGAGTGACCTTGAAGATGATGAGGACGTTCTTAGGGTTGTCTTTGGATGCCTAAGGAATGAATGGATTGGTGAGTTCCAATGCCTGTTAATGCTAAAATGTATTTTGCAAATCCAGACAGTTACTCTTTTGTTAATCAATTGAGTGAATCCGTGAATTCCAATTCGAAATTATAGGTTTGGTGGAATGATAAAAGCTCAGGCCTTTGCTTGGTGCAATGGTAAAAGCTTAGGCTGAAAATGTCACTGTAATATCAGTGTCATATCGGTGAACATTTTAGACATTTTAGGCATTTTAACATCTAAAATGTCATTTCTGTAATATCAGTTGAACCATGGTTAAAGCTCAGGCTGAAAGTGTGAAACCAGCCCCTATTCCCACAAACCAAATGGACCCTTGTATCATTTGTATGAGAAAGATTAGCAAATAGTAATTCTTTCGTTGATGAGCATAATTTGCAGATCCCATGGAGAACTTTTGTAGGGCTAAAAGGTTTCCCAGAAATTTATAAGAGACCAAATGCTACAGTCGAAAAGATACCATTGAAAGAGAAACACTGGCTGGAATCAGGGGCCCAATAACAAGGACCATGAAAGGATCAAGAGAGGAGAGAACCAACTGCCTTCACTAACCGGCATAGCTCTGCTACTACTTGTAGGTTAAAATTTCAGTTAAGCTTTATAGGACAATAGATAGATATTCTTCCATGAAATAACGGAAATGCAGGGAAAAGAAAAGGCGTATTCCAAGCTTAAAGTAAAGAAAGATATGATACTGTTCGAAGAACTTTGAAGTTTGAAGTTTGACCGATTAAAACCCCGTGAATTTTGATGATTGGTTACCACTTCTAGCATACTGGGTGATTGGTCGCGATTAATTGCGTGTTTTGACCCAAGAAAAATATGACAAACCACACGTTATGAGTTATCGTTTAGATTCTACGAATTGACCAACTTCGTAGGCATTACACAAACAAATACAAATGTGTCTGTCTCACATTTTAATCATGATTTTTAAATTAAAACTAGTAGTCATCGTTTGTAGTCATTTTGTGGGCCGGCCGTGTAGCCTGACGTTTGAACCGCGCCGTCCCACAACGACCAGGAGTGGACAACCTAAGTCTGCAACAAACTCCACAAGTTGACGTCTCAACGGTCAACACAACAGCCCAATCCATCTAAGACACGGACCTCACAATAAAAATAATCGCTCAAGAATTCTTGATCAGATTGGCATCAGTGACGCTGACATCGTTGTGATATCAAGCACAAAAAACACAATGACAATCGAAACGCCACCAAAAGTGTGAAAATGGAATAGCAAATATGGCATGCCCCATGAGAGATTTTCATTGAAGCCTCTATGAGTTTTAAAAATCATCCTAACATCATGAATGAGCTCACCGAAGGAACCCAAATGTTGTTGATCCCAGGCTCCCAGCTATCTGGGGTATTGGGTATTGGGACATTAGTTGCACAAAATCTTTAAGCAAACGTAAACTGCAAATTCACGTACATACCATCACAATACAGTCTCGCAAAGATGAAGACAACTTGTCAAAAAACAGACACTGAACCACATAATTTAGGAAAACGTAAAAAGCAAAAGATTAAATAAACAAGTAATACATTCTTAAAGTAGGAAGGAACCAGGCATACTCTAACTGCTCTGCTCCTGCTGCTCCTGATCCTGCTCCTGCTGCTGTAGATCACCTTGCCAAGCCCAAACAATGTCCTTGAGAGCTGGCCTCATATCCTGTTTCAGTATCTTCTGATACTCCAAAGTATCACCGCTGGACTTCTTTACCTCCACCAAATGAAAAGTTGGAGTGACCTCAAATATCTCTGCATCAATTGACAACACTCCCTTCCTCCCTTCCTTTAATCCCTCCAATTTCAACAACCCCCCATCCTTCTTCAGCTTCAGCCCCAAGCGCTTAGCAACACCCTCCAGCTTCGAGATGATGACTGAGGCAGGCTGCCTGGATGTGAAACGTGCTTCGCTTTTGTGGTCGGGTTCCTCAAACAAACCAGACAGGTCAAATCCTGCTGAAAGAGATATGATATCAAAAGCATTCAAGTGGGTAAGCTTTGCTGACTCCTGCTTTGGCTCAGTAGCAGTGCCACTATTTTCAGGACCAAAAACTGTGTCAACATCCAGAGGCGCTGGTTCCTTGCTTTCTGTTTCAACTAATGCTGATTTTGAGTTAAACCCCTTTCTGAACCAAGAATTCTCCTTAATCTTCGCAATGGATATCCTAGTATTAGGGTTTGGATCCAACATCTTTGACAGCAGCCTTCGTACTTCAGATGGGAACCAGGTTGGGCATTTAAACTCTCCTTTACCAATCTTCCTATACATCTCCATCAGATTTGAATCATGAAATGGAAGATAACCAGCCAATAGAACAAATAGGATTACCCCACAAGACCAAATGTCGGCTTTAGCCCCATCATACCCTTTTCTGTTGATCACTTCTGGAGCAACATAGGCAGGGGTCCCACAAGTTGTGTGAAGTAAACCATCTTGACGCTTCGATTCAGCAAGGGCACTCAATCCAAAATCAGAAACCTTTAGATTCCCATTCTCATCCAACAGTAGGTTCTCAGGTTTTAAATCCCTGTGATAAACGCCTCTACTGTGACAGAAATCAACAGCGCTTATGAGCTGTTGAAAGTATTTCCTTGCAGCATCCTCCTTGAGCTTGCCCTTTGCTATCTTGTTAAAAAGCTCACCTCCTTTAGCATACTCCATGACAAAGTAAATTTTCTTTCTGCTAGCCATAACCTCATAAAGCTGCAAGATGTTTGGGTGTCTAACTAGTCTCATTACAGAAATCTCTCGTTTAATCTGATCAATCAGCCCAACCTTCAGTACCTTCTCTTTGTCAATTACCTTAATGGCCACACCCTGTCCAGTTTTAAGGTTCCTTGCATAATAAACCTTAGCGAAGGTACCTTGACCTAATAATCTCCCTAATTCGTACCTTTGCATCAACACACTCCCTTTATTTTCCATTATAGTTACAAATACTGATCTGCACTAATACTAGTTATCCTGCTAAATAAAATATATGTTATTCATGGAGCAGGAGGTCCTATAAATGAAAGAGCTCAACCATCTTCACAAAGGTCATGATGTAATACAACAGGCTTTGTACGAAGAGCCCCATTGCTCATTTGGACATGGAGCCAAGATGCGCTGTGGATTATATGTCCAATCTCATCTAGGATGAACAAAGGGAGCTCAAACAGAGCTAGAACCTCATTGCCCTCAGAGATGTAAATACTGGTGCTCAAGCACATCTTTCAGCATTCCCTGAAGTTTGTTTATCAGTGACCACTGAAATCAAATGGATAAGTTTACCAGATCTTGGATGGTTTCCAAATAACAGATCAAGGGAACTGTCAAGAGCTTGATTTTCCAACAAATATGAGATATAGACCTGAAAGAGAAATAAAGGATCAATGGTTATAGTGCAAACTTTACAAGGAGAAATAGGAAAGAAAAAGGAAATTAGTACCACAAAATTGTAAAGAATGAATAGACATAGAGGACAACCTAAGTTTCAATAAGATAAAAGATCAACAAAACTTGCTGAATTGATCTTAACTGATATAACTATTTACCCAAAATATCACAGAATAACCGTTTGTCTAAACATGGATGAGTCCTGAACTGGAAAGAACTTCATACAGGAAAAATGTTATAAAAGACAGTAACAAACAAAAGACTTTCGCACTGGCATAGAACAAGTGCAAAATAAAAAAAAAAAAAATCACAATTTTGGTTGTATGTAAAGGGGAAGTACCATGAGAACTGCTGTAAATTGTAGTATTGAGTTATGGCTAATCAGATCTCCTGCAATTACACAAATACGCTATCGAACACTTTCACTGCAAAAAAGAGACCTAGACTCGTATCAAAACCAAAGGTGGAAGCTTTTTACAAAGAAAAATCCTGGAGTGGAGAACATATTTATGAAAGCAAAGAACAGAGGATTGAATAAATCCTCACATAATCGAACGACCACAACAAAATCATCCACATAGAGAAAACACAAAACAAAAACGGACGTAAACCATGCAAGCTAATCCAGCTTCAACCTGGAGGAAAAGAAAATTATAATTTTTTATAAACTCACCCGCCATCCACAAAGAAGAAAATGAAATGTAGGAAACCAGAAATCTCTCTAAGAATATCAAAAAGCTATGAAGAAGATATGAAATTCCATAAGATCCAAATACAGAACATCGGAATCGGTGAACTCAATAAGTTTACCTTTAATTGGAGAGAGACTTGGAGAGAAGCACCTTAAACAACAACCAGTCACCACCAACGGAGAATGAGATGCGGCACCTCTCAAAGAAGCAGAGAGAAATCAGAAAACAACCAATTCTTGATATTCTCCTATCAAGGGACCAAAATTACCAATATGACAAATAATAATTAATACCAATATTGTTTATTGAAGATTGAATGAACAGCCAACCTCTGCGGCGATGCGGTCCGACCTTCCAAAAAAATCTTAGAATTCCAGAATCCAGCGGACGAGGTAAATATGTTTACAAAAATACCCTCCTAGAGTGGAAAGATCTGGAGTGTCTCATCCCTGGTGACATCATCCGACGCGTGGCAGTCCTATCGTATCTGGAGCATACGCGTGGCGCGTACTCAAACCTTGTGTTATATCTACGTTTTTTCTAGAATTCTTTTCAAAATAGACAACGGATCATTTTGTCCACGACACAAGTCTAAAGAGTATCTCAAATAAGAAATAATCATTCATTGTCTATGAGCGCTGGACAGCTGTTTGTATTTGTTGGAATTTGGGGCTGCGTGACGTGAGCATCTTATGAACAGCTGTCAACTCTAAATGGTGACGAGGATATACACAGCCTTGGCTTACAAGTTATATTATTTCCTTTCTTTTATTTTAGGTAAAATTTTCCATTAGTACTTGTAATCTGGGCCTAGTGTCACTTTTGGTGTATGATCTTTAAAATGCGATAATTAAGTATTAGAATTTTTAAAATGTGTAAATCTAATATCTGCCGTTAATTAGTGATTAAGTGGCATTTAAAAAGATAAATGTCATTTAATTTTTCTTATTAATCATTTAAATATTGACAAAAAATGAATAGTCTCAAATTATTTTCTTTTCTATTTAAGAAAGTTGGGATTCGGTGAACATTTTGGTGACTCTGAATTTTTTTAGCAGAAGAGGCAAGAATTTAGGACCGTTCCAAGGTTCAAAGTATCAATACGTATCGGCCCATATCGGCCGATATGTATCATTCCAAGACCCTTCTGATACGCCCTTATAGTGGGTGTATCGGGGTCAGATCGGTTCAGGGGGTGGAGGAGCCCTAAACCAGCCCCCCTGAACCGATTTTGAAAAAATTTAAAAAAAAAAGGCACAAAAATGTGTATCGATTCGCCCGATACACCCCTATTGGCGTATTGGGCATATCGATATTTTGAACCTTAGACTGTTCATTTTTTACAACATGTGGATGGTTGAAAAAGAAAATTAAATGGCACTTGAAGGACATTTATATCTTTTTAAATGCACAAATTAATGGTAAGTACTAAATTAACATATTTTAAAGTTTGAATGCTGAATTGTCCTATTTTAAAATTCAGAAACCATGGCACTAAGCTTGAAGTAAAGAGTACTAATAAAGATGGATTCCCCACACGGCTAGTAACACCCAATTCAAAATTTCGACGTCAGGTTTTATAAGCTGTATGGTATGCTCATCAATCAATTTCATATTGCTTTCCATTTGTCTAGCTCAAGGTTCAAGTATCGATACAGGCCAATACGCCAGTAAGTGTATCGACCTGTATCAGTGCTTTTTTTTTGTGATTTTTTTTAATCTAGTTTAGAGGTATCAGTTTAAGGCCCGGCTATCTTCTGAACCATGATCTGACCCGAAACACTCTCTATAGAAATGTATCAAAAAGGTCACGATACGATACGTATATTTTGAACCTTGATCTATCTCATTTACTAAACACCCCCCATGGTTTGTCACTGATTTATTTAATCAACTTTCTTCCGTTGACAGTAGAAAATAACAATACTAATCCTAATGTTATTAAAACAAATTTAATCAAAAGAAAATAAAAAGGTTTGACTATGATGGAAAGAAAGAAGAACATATAACCAATCAACGGGCATTATCGTAATAAAAATCAGGTGGGTGGGTTTTCATCAAGGGGAGTTTGATTGGCCAAACCCCTTTCAACTGCCAACATCATAAATTTTTCTCTAGAAATATCTTTCTTTCTTTACCTTGGTAAAATGCTAATAACCATTCCTTCAGTTAATTTTGTTCTTTACATAGAAAAAAAAGGAAGATACGCTTTTGAATGCAGATACCATTGTTCTCTCTTCATTCTATAAAATCAAATATAGTTTCTTTTTAAAGCTTAATATAGAGTGCTAAGGGTGTTTTCGAAACAAACAAACCATGGTGCCATGTTTAAACATTTTCTACTCAGGTTAAGTGATCATGTGACCATTTGAGACAAGAATACAAATGTTTCTTAGTAAAGTGGTTGCTCTTTATAGAGGTGATTTAATAAATGACCTTTCTTTAATATATTTACATTTTACATGAAACAAGTCAAACCTGTCTGTGCATTGGGACAATACATTCAAATCTTTAATTGGACTAAAGATAACCCAGTGAAACAAGATCAAACCGGTTCAAGTCTAAGCAGGTCAATCAGACCCATAGATGGCCCTAATCATTTGCTGCTAATAGATGATGGAATCAAGATCTAGTAATTTCTGTCTGGAACAAGTTTCACTTCGCCCAATCGCCTGCAAAATCTTCACTAATCACTACCAATTTTCACAACAATCAGTTCGACGAACAAACTTGAATGCCCGCAATCGGATGGAAAAGCACACAGACATGGTGCTCCCCCCACAGAGGAACAAACTCAAGCACGCTACACCCATGCAGTACAAGACAAAGGGTCCGTTAGTTTTTTGAATTTTGTGATGGGCGAGAGATGGAACAAACAAGTTCTTTTGTGGGATCTATAAAAGATTTATTTTTTTCTGATTACCAATATGTGTTTATATTTATTGAGTAAACACTACCACGTTAGCAAAAACTTCATTAATTCCGTTTCCATTAAAGTTTATCGATTTTTGTGCATCTCTCTTGTTTCAGAAAACTTCATTTTGAAACTTTCTAAAATGGGTAAGCATTTATTGACACTTTGTTGATGTAGTACCTAATGTGTTAAATACTCTCATTAATTGTTTTTCTCAGTTTTGCAGCCACAAGTACCAAATGTTTACTCAAAAAACGTAAACGGACCCAAACACATACAAGATTATTTCTTTTAATAATAGTTTTTTTATGGCTAAAAGCTTATAATTGTCATCTTATTTGCCTATAAAATAAAAGAACATGGATAAATACACTTACACAGACAAGTGTTTTCAGAAAAAATTTATCCAGATAAATAACTTGCCAAAAAGCAAACAGGGCCAAAAGTGCATCTCAACTAACTACCTAACAAATTTAGGCTGCATTTTACATTCCTTATTTTAAGGACTTTTTCCTTTTTGCAGTTAAAATGCACATACGAACACAGTTTTTAACCCCAAAAAGGAGTACAAGGAATGCCAAATACAGCCTTAATGCGTTTCCAGCTGCCCACCTGAACCAAATTATTAGAAGTATGTTAGGCTGGGTGCTCAGCAACACTAATGGTTTTGTTTTTTCAAAACAAAACTGCCATCTCAAAAAAAAAAAAAAAACAAAGACCTTTAAACGTCAAACAGTGAACAGAATTCAAGTTAAAACCATATTCCTTTCATTGGAACAGAGGGCATCATAATCTCCAACATATCTAAACCTAACTCTCTATAACCGGAGTCTGGACATCAGACCGACGAGTCAGAGTTTCCTTCAACCAGATATTCTATCTACCATAAAATGGAACTAAAATGACAAGAGCAATAAGGCACCAGGGCAAAAAACAATTTAAGCCTAGTTAATATTGTAGAAGAAGAATATGGAAAATTGGTTGCTCTTGCTTTTAGTATCTGATTCCCTTGGCGACATCAAAGAAGTGGGCAACATTCTCCTCTGGTGTTCCTACAACAATCCCATGGCCAAGATTCAATATATGTTTACCTTTGCCAGCTTTTCTTACAGTATCATTGATACGATTAGTGATAAACTCCTTCGAACCAAAAAGGACACCCGGGTCCACATTCCCCTGAACCACCACATCAGCTCCTAGTCTTCTCCTACCTTCAGCCATATCAACTGTCCAATCCAAGCTAACAACATCCACACCTGTCAAAGGTAGCCTCTCAAGCAAGCCTCCAGATCCACTTGCATAAAGGATTAGTGGGAGATCTGGATGGGTTTGTTTCACAGAATTCACAATTTGCTTTAGATATGGTAGACTGAACTCCTCAAAATCAACTGGGCTTAGCTCTGTGGCCCATGAATCAAAAATCTGTACAGCTTGTGCTCCCTGGTCTGCTTGGTACTGGATATACTTTGCCATAGAGGTTGCAAATTTCTGCAGTAGTGCATGTAGTACCTGTTTAGGAAAAGAAGCTGAATGTCAATAGAGACCCAATCCTTATAGGACCTAGATCTGAAAGTATTCTTTTCTACCACAGACAAGATTTCGTTGGTTATACTTGTTCAGGACAGCTCATAATTAGGGAAATTCGATGAAGGCACACCCTACTTATGTCAGTCAATTAGTCAATAAGAATATCCATGGCTATTTTGCCAGGAATTAAATAAGGTTTTATTTTACTGTTTTCAGTATCAAATACAAAATTTACACTAAATATTGAAAGCACAAAGCTCACATTAAGTTCAGAAATTTGCAATCAAAACACCGAGATCCAGTAACCAGTAGCACCAGTGTAAAACAAGCACTCCAATATTAGGTTTCCATTTTAAATAAGAACTACCCCACCTTAATTTAGTAAAAAGAAAATGAGGAAAAGGATAGTCTTCTATTAGAGCAACATTCCCTTAAAGTCTCTTTCCTTTAATTATTTACCAACGTTTTTTCTTTCCTATTTCCTTTTTTTGGGTGGTCGGTGAATGGGAGAGTAGATATGGAATTTCAACCCAGATCTTGCTTACAACCATCAAGACTTCTGGCAAGCTAGGACTAGCAATAAAACCTGAAAAACCCTTGCAATGATAATTCAGATTTTACAGCATTCTATGCCCATTCAGATTAGAAATGCATCATGTGCCTTTAGTGAAACCAATATAAGTTCTTAAACAACCCCTAATACATGTTCTCAATTAAACCAAATGCTGCTCTCTTCTTTGTTCATGTGCATAACTATGAGAATTTAAGATGGTTGCTTTTGTATCTGGAAGGATTCTCCTATACCTTGTTCTTTCAAATTCCACAAGCATGGTTGAACAAACATTTGCACACATTCCCTGCTAACTTGACCATAACTATAATTCCTACTAATCCTGTTTATTAGTTTACTAGCATCATTCACCTGAACTTCTAAACTGATTTATGGCACAATTTTACAGATTTACATTCGTTTTCTAGAGTTTTGCATCCAATACTCCATGTCTGACACTATAAAATATACTCGAGTTGTAGGCTCAATGCTACAGCATGAGTGGGTAGGACAAAACTAGAAAACAAGTACAAAGTTACCTTGGGTTCTGAGAAGGCTAGCCTCTTTATTTTTGTGAAGTGCTTGGATGAACCACCTTCCACCACATAGGATGCCAAGGTGAATGGAGCCCCTACAAAACCCAGAACTGCAGATTCATTGTTTACCTGAAAAGGAAATACAAGGATAAACATGGTGGACAACTTTATTTTTAATTAAAAAACAATGCTAAGAATACAATTCAAAGGGCCCATATTTTTTTCTCGGTAATGATTTAATAAGGGATATACTGGACCGAACAGAATGGTAGAACAACATTCATGTAGCCTATATGGTTGGGACAAGATGATGATGATGATGATGTATGCCTTAAAAAGCACCATATGGCACAAATCTGGAATATTGTGTCATTTTAAATTGGACCTGTATCTGTCAGTACAAGTGGATCCCCACACAATATTCCAGATGTGTGGTGTAAGATGGATTTGTAAGGTTTTTATGCTTAGGGTTTTTTTTTAATTCCTATGCTTATGACCAGGTTCCACATTCACACTATATTTTATGAAAAGTTCCAAGAAAGACAGAAGACAAATAACATTAATGTGAACAAACATCCATATTCTGGAAATAAGGATGGTAATCAAATGTTGCAATGGTACATGTACTGATTGTCATATGACAGAGACGGAATGGGGTTTCCATTGTGCAAAGAAAAAGGCGTGATTTACTGAATAATAACTATGGCATTTGATGAAACTAAGGAAATGCCTTTTAACTTGGCTTTTTTTTATCCTCTATAAAATAATAAAAATGTTAACCCTTCAACCCTCATAAATCTAGACTTTGGCGCTACATATATAAACCTTCTGGTTGTCTTTTCTATAAACATTGACCCCTTACCCCTCACAAAACTAGTAATATCTAATTGCAAGATCTTTTATTAATTATGTGGCACATGTTGCAGAAAAACCATCTAAGCACCAGTTGAAACAACTGATCTGTTACAAGTTGAAGGGACTAGAAGAGCTAGAGGCAGACCAAAAAGGACTTTGGTTGTAGTAAGATATGAATCAAGGGCTCATAATTTAACAATGGATATGGCACTGAATAGAATGAAATGGTGGAATACAATTCATGTAGCCAACCCCATATAGTTGAGACAAGTATTAGATGATAATGATGATGTATGATACAAATCAAGCACATCATAAAGAGAGGGTTGCTGAGAGGGTGAGAGGGTGAGGAACTGGGTTTTCATCTGTTGCCATTGTCTGAGCTGGTGAGAGGGTGAGAGGATGAGGAACTGTGTTTTCGTCTGTTGCCATTGTCTGAGTTGGTGAGAGGGTGAGAGG